CAAACAGCCAATTGTACCTGGGGGATTGTTGGCTACAACACTGGGAAATAATCCCTTCTTTGTTCAGATATTTTCAACATCAACCTGTGTGTATGTGAGAGGAGAGAATATATGTGTGAGGAGCCACGTTTGGGCAGAGGTGGGAGGGAGTTTCATGAGCTAAAATTTCTGCCTTTGCAGTTGTCACACCAAGAGGGAAAAATTAATCGCGATTCCACAACAGCCCTCAAACCGTGCAATTTAGGTGAATCATTAAGTGTATTACAGCATTGCAGCGGGCGGTGGTATGAATTATGATAGACTGAAAGATTGTAGGGCACATGGCGTAACAGGAGTCGTTTATTTTATTGATGCTTTTGCGTTTATCACTAAATGTGGTTCAACAGGGAGAGAGAGAGAGAGAGAGAGAGAGAGAGACTGATGGAGGGGAGAGTAGAGGTGGAAGAACACGCACAATTTAACCTTGTGGATTTTGGAAGTGGAACTTCATCTACTCGGCCAAAAAACATTTTTGGTCAGCCATAATAATCCTTGCATTTGGTAGCGTGCCTTATTGCGTTTTCGAGATGTCTCAAAGCGCTTTGTGGAAACCCATCACCGTGCCTGAGAGTATCCAAAACAGTTTGAGATTTCCATGCATCCCATATACACACAGAAATTCCAGAGATGGTTTGTTGGAATGGAATGCGCACTCTCTCTTCCTGGAGGGACACATCCTGCTTACCTGATTCCAGAGAGTATTAGGCATAGGTTGACAAGAGCCAAGGCTTGGGGGCCCCAGAGTGTGTGTGTTGTGGTAACTGCTGGAGTCTAACCAGCTACTACTGCAGTCTAACCTACTTAGCAAAAGAAAAGAGAAGCTGCATTCTTGTGTGGTTTTTTTTAATTAAAAAAGCACGCCAGAATGCTTGACTTATTTTAGGAAATCTGGATTTGAATCAATTCGGGGCGGATTGCAGATCAGTGGCGCTGGGCAGGTTGCCAGTCTGCTCGGCTTGGTGGGGGCATTTCTTACTGATTCGCAAATGAAGCTCAGTAAATTGCACTTGTGTTGTTATGCCCACTGCAAATAGGCTATTAACAGGAATAATAATAACGATCCTTACCACGTGTTCGAGACGTCTCGAAGAGCTTCACAGAATATACTGTAAAGTATATTAACTGTATACTTTGCAGGTGAAATGCGGCAGCCAATTCCACACAGCCTTGGCACGTGTCATTAAGGATCTCCATAAAGGCATGTGCCAAGACTGCGGAAGGTGTACCTTCTAGACAAGTGAGTTTGGTTTGGATGCTCTTAACCGTGTTGATGCGTGCCCACGTGTGTCAGACACCTGGCTGACCAAAAAATAACCTTGGAAGAGATTACCCTCTTGCTGTTCCTTGCTGCCAATGTGGCCATATTCGGCGGCTTCATGCCTAATTGAGGCATGATTTTGTTGTGCTGTCTTGTGAAAAAAAGGCTTTGGGCGGGTGCCCAAATGTTTAATATAATCACGCATAACGATCCGTCCCCCTCCCACCACTCCACCTTTCCCTCTCTCTCCCTCTTCCCTCAATCTCCCTCCCCTCCTTTATCTCCCTCCTTCTCGCCCTCCCAACGTGAAGACGCTACACAACTGTAAATTTATATTTTATCCTCCCTCTCTCATTCCATCTCTCTCTCTCTCTCTCTCTCTCCCTCCCCTCCACATCCCTTTCTCCTCTTCTTCCCTCCCTCCCTCCTCCCCTCCTCTCTCTCTCTCTCTTTGGGGCTACAAACTCTGTATCAATTTCTGGCATACATGCACATTGCACACATCACAACACCGGCCTATCTGCAATTTCCACGCTCATGTATAATAATTGTGTTAAAGCTACTTTTCTGTGGATGAAGAGGATTATTAGACTCTTCATTTCCTCTCCCTCCTCCCATCCCTCCCACCCTCCCCTTTTTTAGAGGGAGGGAGAGTAAAGAGAGCAAAGAAGAGCTTTTCCGTTCCTCTGTGAGGAAACCTGTGTATCCATTCTCCTCGTGAGATAAAGGAGGGGAGAGAGAGGGGGAGAGAGAAGAGGAGTGGGAGAGACGGAGGGAGAGGACGGGAGGGGAGAGAGGGTGGGAGAGGAGGATAGGAGGGGAGAGCAGGGAGCGGGGAGAAGTATGGAGTCAACGTCTTGCTTCAGAACAGAACATGTAAGTGAAGTTAACTGTTAAAACAATGTATAAAAATGTGCATTCCTTCCAAATCTTACTACTGAGCATCTGTACCTGTTAGAAAGGGACAACTGTTTCAGACAAGAAGCAAAGCTAACCTGTCTGTGCAACCACTAGCTACCTCCAATGGTGCGCTCTCCTCTAATCCAATTTCCCTGCTCTCTCCCCATAACCTTTAATAGCTTTAATCTTCGGGATTTATCTAATTTGCTTTTAATTGCTTTAATGGACGGGGCTTCAACCTAGCCTGCTGGGAACCGCTCAGTAGAGAAAGAGTCTATTTTTTTTTGACAGGTTGATGAATGTCACTGAATGTTCAGCCTGGAAAAGCGCTTTGTCTTATGATTAAAGATTGAGCAAAACCGTAGCAAATTCTTCAGACATTCAGCCTTAATCGGGAAGCCTTTTTTTTTACAAAGTTCCCAAAAAAGACAGCCTCCAAATTACATAGAGTTACAGAGAGTGATACAATAGAGAAATAGGTCATTCCACCCAACTAGTTCCTGCAGGTTCATAATAATAATCTTTGAATTTGATACAGCTCCTTATCACGTCGTTGAGATGTCTCAAAGGATATACTGTATGATGCTTTGACTCTGTATTTTGTAGATGAAATATATTAGCCAGTTTGCGCACAGCATTGTCACACAAACAGCCATGGAGTGAGTGACCAATTTTATTTGGGGGATAGTTGGCCAGGACACCGGCAGAGAGAAACTCCCTTCTCTTTTCGAAGAGTGCCATTGGATCTTTAACATCCATCTGAACAGGCAAACGGGACCTCATTTGAACATCTCATCTAAAGGACAGCACCTCCACCAATGCAACTGCCCCCCAAGTCTCAACTTGGGGCTTAAATCCACAACCTTCTGACTCGGAGGTGAGAGTGCTACCACTGTGCCAGGCTCCCTATTAGATCTGCTACTGGCTATCTTATAAGTATTCCCCCTTTCATTTTAGACTAAGCAACTAATGGAAACAGCCTATCCGTCTTATTAAACCCTTTGATAATCGTAAAGACCTCAAATGAAGACTTAAGGATTCAAGGATTTTTCAATAATTTTTAATTGCTTATAAAATAAAATGTTCTTACAAATGAGCACCGGGAGAAAATGGGGCCTGGAGACCTCAGTAAGTTTGGAATTTGTCACGAGAGCTATAGCTGGGGGTCAGAGTGAACAGAGTTCTGAGGGAAGCATTCCGTTGTCTGAAACCAGGAAAGTGCATAACGGTAAAGAAGAGAGGCTTTCCAATAAAATCTCAGCTTCTTTCTCCCAGTCAGGAACAAGCTTCCATTCCTCTCTTAAGTCCCTCTTCCAAGCCCCTATGTTCCCCTTCTCCCCAATGTCTTCTACCTCTTGTTCCCGAGTCAATGAACTCGCCCACAAACCCACTGCCAGTGCAGCAGTGGGGAAAAAAGAGGGGTGAGGAAGATAAGGGTGTTTGTAATGAATAAATACTGTGCTAGAGAAACACTGAGCTCAGTCAGTATTAAACCCTTTTCCTCCCCAGTTTCTGTTTGATAAGGCTGTCTTGACTCTTCTAGGTAAAGCACCTGGTAGAAAATGCTTGCAACAAGTCTTTCACATCCCTGAGTTTTCCCAGATTTTTTTCCACCCATATACAATACCAGATTCGTCCAGTCAATCCCCCCCACCCGCCAAACCATCCTGCATAAAACCACTCTTCCATATTTACCTTAGAACAAGATGCCTGAGGCGTATTCCAACGTGTTAACAACATTCACCACAGATATTCTTTCTTATGAGATAAACAGTCAACAGTTACAGGGATTATATTGCACACAATAATTTAAGAGGGATTACTCCTTTCTATGTCCAACCACAGTTGTGTGGATATTAATCGAAACAATTATAAGTAACCATCTTCCTTGTAATTTATATACTATTTTATGAGTATCCAGTCAATCTGACTACAATTGTTCAGATATTAAGTGGAACCATTAGAGGTGACTAGTGTGTGTATGATTATGTGTATGTGAGTATGAATTCAGTAATTATGATCACAATTGTTAAGTGAAATGATTAAAACTGGCCATTTCTGTGTATTTATTTATATATGTATACTGCATATGAGTATGTCTGTCTGTTCTCAGTCCTCATCACAATTGTTTAGATCTGATGTGGAACCACTATAAGTTGCTGTGCTGTGTGTATTTACTATTTTAGCAGATGTATTCAATAATTCTAATCACAATTGTTTGGCTACTAAACAAAATGACTAGAAATGGCTTTGGAGCTCCTAAATGACTATAAATGAGTATTTATGTATGATTGTTGGTGTATGTGTGTGTGTATAAACTCGGTCACTCGGATCACAATTGTTAGATATTAAGTGAAGAATTAGAAATGTGGTGTTTGTGTATATGTGTACTCAGTCACTGATATCATAATTGTTCAGATATTAAGTGAAACAATCAGCAAAGGCTAATTGTTGTTTTGTTTATGTGTATGTATACGTGTACTTAGTCAGTCAGATCACGATTATTAGATACTCAGTGAAACAAATAGAAATTCAGTGAAACAAATAGTGTGTGTGTCTCTGTGCGCACTCAGTCATTCGGACCACAATTATCCAGATATGAAATGAAACCATCAGAAACAATTACTTATCTCCTCTGTTGTGACTGGAGTTGAGGAGGACAGTGGCAAAGGTGGGCTGGGAAGCCAAGAGATGAAGCTGGAGATCAAACTCAGAAACCATCACCCACACTCTCTCCCCCCCCCCGTCCCCCCAAACCCCAACCAAACAACCCATCCACCCACCCCATCCCCACACCCCCTACCTTGCTTGGGTGTGCGCCTGCTCTCGGTGAGGTTACACGTGTGTCCAGCATGGAGCTGGGCAGATAGACAACCCTCGGTATCCGGGTTGAGAGGTAGAATCATGTCCAACCCGTCCACCCCTGGCAACACATTCTGCTGGCAATTGCATTTGGTGTACATGATCCCACAGGAGTCTGGCTGTGGATCTGAGTGTGGATCTGGATCTGGGTCAGGCTGGGTAATTGGACCTCCAACTGGTCTCCTAGCTTCCTCACTTGCACCCTGGTTGGTGTTGTCGTTAGTGCTGGAGGCCTTAAGGCAAGTCTCCAACCAGCCACACAATACCTGGCACCCAAATTGGCTGGGGCTGACGTTGTTGAGGACTAGGAGCTCCAAAGCTTGGCGGGCACCAATCCCGTCCCTCAGAGAGGGGCGGTCAGGGCGAGGCAAGTGACGCAACTGGACAAAGTTCTTGTGGAAGTGGAGGAACACCAGCCCACTTCTCGCCTCGCAAAGCCGGACCACAGAGTCACCTTTGCTCAACAACGCTCTGATCTTCTCGCCCGAGTAGTGGTCGAATTGATAAGCCCACAGGTAGAAGTCCGGGCAGCCTTGCTCCTTCTTGGAGAACTTCAAGTAAATGGTGTACTTGGTGGGGTCGGGGTTTTCCAAGGTCCAGGTGCAGTTGACAGAGTTCCTCGGGAACAGCTGGCTCAGGGAGTAAGAGCCATAGATGACTCCCTTCACCAGAGTCGAACAGCCACTGTCCTCTGAGGCACTGTCTGTGCCAACCGTGACCAGCAGATATGTGGCAAACGTGTAAAGCATCAGCTTAGCAAAAGCCCTCATCCTATGGCATTTGGGCCTGTAAAGGGAAGAAATCAACAACGAAGAGAGGAGAGAGAGAGACAGAGACAGAGAGAGAGAGGGACACAGAGGAAGAGAGAGAGTGAGTGACACACACACACACACAGAAAGACAGAAATAGACAGAGAAAGAGACCGGAATAGACAGAGACACACACACACAGAGTGGGAAAGGTGGGAAACACAAAAAATGAAGGGAATCCAAATGCAAGTAACAACTTGAGTACTCTTTTTTGAGGGAATCAAATGATTTACCTGTGGAACATTTTATTTTTTAAAATCTAAAATAAGAAAAAAATGTTTTTAATTGAATTACTTGCGTTTTTTGCAGAAAAAGTATGTTTTAAAAATGATTTTACGAAATAAAATATCATTTCTTTGACTTCGATAAAATTCAAAACTAATAATAGTATTTTTTATTGATTGAAATAAAAATAAGTAAAATAATTGCGATCAAAATATGTTCTGGCAATTTGAATAAAAATATATCTGTTTAGACGAATGAAACAAAATGTTACTTTGAAATGAATTTTAAAAACATTATTTTGATTTAAACAGACAGATCTTTTTAAATATTTTTTTAATTTAAATGATCATATTTATTTTTATACAAATACATTTCAAAAATACTTGTTTCTTTAATTGAATGGTTTCCTTGCTCCTGGGAACCTGAGTGAGAATTTGACACTTGACATGTTTTGAGCTGCTGTTTTGATGTGGGACAGACAAAGCCACCACGTGGATATTCATTCATTTCATTCATTCATTCATTCATTCATCCATTCATTCTCTGAGAAAGCTTTCTCCCCCTCTCTTCCTCCCCCTATCCTCCACTTCCCTCTTTTCCTTTTCTCCTCCCTTCCCACCTCCTGTCCTCTCTCCCATTTCCCTCGCTCCTCTCCCCTTCTTTCCTTGCCCCCACCACACCCCCCCCCCCCCCACCTCACTCTCCTCCCCCCATCTCTCCCCCACCTTTCTCCCTCCTTTCCCCCTGACACAGTCTTCCTCTGAGACACTAACATGGCAGGGGGTTAACGAACAGTGCAGAAGATGTGCTGAAGATGGATGAAAAGAAGTGTTTGTGGGTTGCTTTAGAATAATAAATGCATTGAATGATAAATACATCGACCACAGCAAAAAGGAACAATTTATAAGACGCCTAACTTAACCCACTCCACATTGCAACCAAATAAATAGCCCACATCATCTATTTCAGTCAGTCAGTCAGTGCTGAGCAGTTAGATACTTTGCAGAGCATGTCGTGAAACGTATCTTTTTGGTCCCTATGGCATTTAAACAGGTTGTCCGGATCTGTTTCAGCAAAGGAATGGATATATTTGAAGCTTAAAGCCCAAATGTTGTAAAAATTAGTCTCTTGCAAGTCCACAGGCTGTGGATCAGCCAAAAAAGTCTCTCATTCTCCCTCGAACACACTCGCCCTCCTCTGTCCATTGATGGATGAGCTCAGGCTAGCAAAGCTCTGTGTGTGTGTGTGTGTCTGTCACCGTGTGTGTGTCACTGTGTGTGTGTCACTGTGTGTGTGTGTCACTGTGTGTGTGTGTGTCTGGTACTATGTGTGTGTGTGTCACTGTGTGTGTGTCTGGTTCTGTGTGTCACTGTGTGTGTGTCTGGTACTGTGTGTGTGTCTGGTACTGTGTGTGTGTCACTATATGTGTGTCTGGTACTGTGTGTGTGTCTGGTACTGTGTGTGTGTGACTGGAACTGTGTGTGTCACTGAGTGTGTCATTGTGTGTGTCACTGTATGTGCATATCTGTCACTGTGTTTGTTACCATGTCTGCGTGTTACCATGTATGTCACTGTGTATGTGTGTGTCACTGTGTGTGTCACTATATATTTGTGTGTTGTTACCATGTGTGTGGACAGTGTGTGTGTCGCTGTGTATGTGTGTCACTGTGTATGTGTCACTACGTGTGTGTGACACTGCATGTGTGTGTCACTGTGTGTGTGTTACTGTGTCTATGTGTGTGTGCCAGTGTGTGTATGTCTGTGTCAGTGTGTGTCAGTAAGTGTGTGTGTGTGTGTGTGTGTATCAGTGTGTGTCAGGGTCTGTGTGAGTGTGTGTGTGTGTCTGTGTCACAGTGTATCAGTGTGTGTATGTCACTGTGTGTGTCAGTATATGTGTGTATACATGTGTGTGTTTCAGGGTGTGTTTATGTGTGTGTGTCACTGTGTGTGTGTGTGTATGTGTGTGTCAGTGTGTGTGTCAGTATGTTTATGTGTGTGTGTGTGTTTATGCGTGTGAGTTTGTGTGTGTCAGTGTGTGTTTGTGTGTGTGTGAGAGTGTGTGCGTGTCAGTGTGTGTATATGTGTGTGAGTGTGTCAGTCTGTGTGTGTGTGTGGGAGCATGTGAACAGCCGGGTTGCGAAAGGAGTCGATCAGAGACTGAAACAAACAGCTCCCGGCAGCTAAATTAAAGCTGAATATGAGGGGGAATAAGGGAAATTTATTTTTGTGCGTGTTTTTCTGAAAATTCGACAGTCAAACTTCTAAGAGTTAAAATAATCCCCGATAAAAACCCAGGTATTATTATAGGACACCCACACTTTGCTGGTGGTGCTTTATCCTGAAATTAACAGCTGGGATGTATTGTATCTCTCGTCCTTAATCAGCTGTGGTGGGATTCATAGAGACTCAACGATACGAACGCGACAGCCTTAAGTTACACTGCAGGAAATCTCAGTAACTCAACACAGAGCGCCTTTCAATGCGTTAGTTTAATGCGAAGGATCGGGAAGATCTGGGACCTGTTAAGATAGCAGGGTTTCTTTTTATTTAAATAAAAGCGTCCCTAGGATGCGCCTTTTGCACCGTTTTTATTGGGATTCTTATTATTCGTAATATTATTATGTATCTCCCACAAAATATACAATCAATTCACTATATATATATCTCATATCTATATATCTCATATCTATATATATATATTCTGTGAAGGAAGCCCCTTGAGCTGTTTCAAAGATGTGACAAGGCGCTGTAACGGATAAAATTATCATGATTAATAATAATAATAATGATTATTATTTTAACCCACAATCAATTGCATTGCATCTGGATGGGGAAAAGGACCACAGGTCGAGAAGGCTGTTTGCTCTGCTTTTGGGAATGCAGATGGTTTAAGGGGAAGGCAACACTGCAGAAGAGGAGAGGATTGTTTTTTTGTAAGTTGCAAAAGAACCCTTTGGCCAATAATGTACATGAGACAGACAGAGAGAGAGAGAGAGAGAGAGATGAATATTGTTGAGCCTGACCTCAAGCTGCATGGTGGCTCTATCTCTCTCTGGCTCTCCTTCCCTCTATCTTTCTGTGTATGTGTGTAGGCGGTGAGTCCCTGGGACTACACTCAACCCAGGCAATATGTCAAACCAGTTTTGCATTTACAATCTCACTCTCCTGCAGCTGGACCTCAGCAACGACCTGCACACCACCCACAGCCTCTCCTCCAACCCTTACCTCTGTCTCTCCCCCCAAACCCCTTCTCTCTGCCCTCACAACTCCTACCCTTGTCTCTCTCCACACACCCCTATCCCTCCCTGTCTCTCTCTCTCTCTCTCTCTCCCCTAATCCTTACCCTTGTCTCTCCCTACAATCCCTATTCCTTTCTTTCCCCACAATTCCCCAACCCCCTACCCTTGTCTCTCCCCCCCCCCCCCACTCTCCCTACCCTTGTCTCTCCCCCCCCCCACACCCCCTACCCTTGTCTCTCTCCCCCCACACCCCCTACTCTTGTCTCTCCCCCCACACCCCCTACCCTTGTCTCTCCCCCCACACCCCTACCCTTGTCTCTCCCCCCACACCCCCTACCCTTGTCTCTCCCCACACACCCCCTACCCTTGTCTCTCCCCCCACACCCCCTACCCTTGTCTCTCCCCCCACAAGCCTTACCCTTGTCTCTACCCCCAATATGTTACCCTATCTCTCCCCACAACCCATATTCCTGTCTCTCCCCTAACTCCAGCCTCTGCCTCTCCCCAAACCTTACCAGTGCCTCTCTCGTCCTCTCTTTCTGTACAACCTTAAGAACTGGACTTCCATTAATCTATATATATATATACATATATATATAGATAGATATACACATACAAATATTTCACGATTGATAGCAAGGAATTAAGAAAACTGTAGCCAGCACAGGATCCAAGCCACAGCCAAAAAAAATACAGACCCTCAATATACCAGTTATTGCTCAAGTCTTCCCACTCCATCCATCCAGTGTTCAGTGTGTACAAACTCTCCAGTGTTTAAAGCAGTCGTGATGGGGGGAGTGTGTGTGTGTGTGTGTGTGTGTGTTATTGTGTGTGTGTGTGTGTTTGGGGGGTGGGGGGTGGATGGGGAGAGAGGGGGTCATTTCAATGGAGGGTGCTTTATGCTGAACTTATTTTTCTTATGAAGTTTTTATGATATCTGTGTAAAACAAATGCACTGGTGAGTCTTTCACACCGACTTGGTGTGATACTTGGTGAGAAAGGAACATAAGACGGCGCCATCACACCATCTTTGGACAAGTTGAGAGCTTTTTTTTTGTGTAGGTGTGTGTGTCTGGGGTTTGGGGATGGGGGGGGGAGAGGAGGGAAGGGAAGAGGGGGGGGTTTGGTTGGCAAGTGATCTTTCAATGACTTGACTCAACTTCTTCTCCTCTTTTCCCCCTCCTTTCCTCCTTTCCTCCCCTCCTTTACACACACACACACACACTTTGCAAAGGGGAACACCCCCCCCCCCCCCACACTTTGCAAAGGGGAACACCCCCCCCCCCCCCCCACACACACACTTTGCAAAGGGGAACACCCCCCCCCCCCCCCACACACACACACACATACACTTTGCAAAGGGGACCCCCCCCCCACACACACACACTTTGCAAAGGGGACCCCCCCACACACACACACACTTTGCAAAGGGGACCCCCCCCACACACACACTTTGCAAAGGGGAACCCCCCCCCCCCACCCACAAACACACACACACAAGTTTATGCTATTAATATTTACCCCAAATCCAAACAGAGCAGTTTGGTTCCAAATGAAATTGATCATGACTTCGTTGCAAGTACTTTTAAGACCAGAGGGTCTCTCCCCCTTCTCTCTCTCCCTCTCTCTCTTTCCTCCCCCCCACCCCATTCCTTTCCTCTGTTCACCCCCTCCCTCCCTCCTTCCCTCTCCTCCTTCAACCCCCCCCCCCCCACCCCACCTCCCTCCACCCTCCTATCTCTCTCTTCCACCCAAGCTTTGATTTTTCATCCCACTTACAGATAAATTCTTTCAAGATCAGAAAAAGATGTGTGTGTGTGTGTGTGTTCAACACCTACACACACACACCAACACATACACACACATACAAGACACAGACACACCACATATGTATACATACATGTACAAAAAAAAAGCTTGGGAGCTTACCTTACAATCCGAAAGCAATAGCTTAATCTGTTAAATGGCTCTTAATATATCCTCCCAGTTCTCGATGCAGAGTACATCCACTCCTCAAATGCAACACATCCCATTTTTCACCTGTTTTTTTTTTTGGGGGGGGTGTGGGGGTTGCAAAAAGGAAAGCCACAACCACCCCTCTCTCCCTCTCTCCCTCTCTCTCTCTCCCTCTGTCTCTCCACACAAACCACTGGATTTTCTCAGTGGGGGAGAGATGAGAGAAGAGGAGGAGGAGGAGGAGGAGGAGGGAAGGAAGGAAAGGAAAAGGGGCTGAAGCAAAGGAAGAGAGAGGGGAGAGAGAAAAAGGAGGCAAAGGAGGAGGAAGAGAGAAGAGACAGAGATAGAGACAGACAGACAGAGAGAGAGAGAGAGAGAGAGAGAATAAGCTGCTAAACTCCAGGATGCATCTTATTTCCCTCTTGTCCCCCTCTCCAAAAATAAAAGGGACCTCTCGTTAGAGTTGCAATGGTAGACGTGGGAAGCCAAGAAGATTTGAGCTGTCACCCCCCTCCCCCCCCCCCACCCCCACCCACCCCCCCACCCCCAAAAAAAAACCTTCAGATCTGTGTGGAGAAGCACCAGGAATGATAACAGCACAGATCGTAAAAAATCTGCCCAAGATCAGTGTGTTTTCTTCCCTTCTCCAAAAAAAAAAACACACGCACATAAATCAGAATTAAAGGTCGATGGAGTTCCTGAGACTGTGGAGAGAAGATCACTGTCGGACAACCAGGAATCTCCCGAAATGACTTGTGGATAGAGAGAGAGAGAGAGAGAGAGAGAGAAAGAGAGGATGGAGACAGAGAGAGAGAGAGAGAGGGAGAGAAAGAGGGAGAGGATGGATGGAGAGAGAGAGAGAGAGAGGAGAGAAGGGGAAATGTTCATTGGCTGCTGCTGAGATGCTTCACTGCTTCAGAGTGGCTGATAGAGGGGACAGCGATGGGCTTTCAGGGCTGTAGTTTACGCGTCACTCTCAACACTCACTCACTCACTCATTCACACACTCACTCACTCTCACTCATTCACTCTCACTCACTCACACACACACACATTCTCACTCACTCACTCATTCACACACTCACTCACTCTCACTCTCTCACTCTCTCACTCACTCACTCACACTCACTCTCACTCACTCACTCACTCTCACTCACTCACTCTCACTCACTCACTCACTCACTCACACTCTCACTCACTCACTTACACACACACATTCTCACTCACTCATTCACTCACTCACACACTCACTCACTCACACACATACTCACACTCACTCATTCACTCACTCACTCACTCACTCACACACATACTCACACTCACTCATTCACTCACTCTCACACTCTCATTCACTCACTCACTCACATTCACTCACACATTCAACCACTCACACTCACTCACTCACAAACTTACACACTAACACTCACACTCACTCATACACTCTCACACTCATTCACTCACTCACACACTCACTCACTCAATACTCTCACACTCTCACACATTCACTCACTCAATACTCTCTCACTCACTCACACACTCACTCACACACACTCTCACTCACTCACACACACTCTCACTCATACATACTCACACTCACACATTCACACACTCACACACACTCACTCACTCACACACTCACACATTCACAGACTCACTCACACACTCACTCACACACACACTCACACATTCACACACTCACACACGCTCTCACTCACACATTCTCACACTCATACATTCACATACACTCACTCACTCACTCACTCACTCACTCACACTCTCACTCATTCAAACATACTCACACTCACACATTCACACACACTCACACTCATTCACTCACACACACACTCTCACTCACTCAATACTCTCACTCACTCACACACTGACTCACACACATTCTCACTCACACACACGCTCGCACTCACACATACTCACACTCACACATTCACATACTCACACACACATTCACTCACACATACTCACTCACTCACTCACTCACACATTCACACGCTCACTCACACACACTCATACACACACTCATTCACACACACTCACTCACACACTCACACTCACACACTCACACTCACAAGCTCACACATACATTCGCATACTCACACTCACACACACTCTCACTCACTCACATACTCACACACTCACACACACACACTCTCACTCACACACACACTCACACACTCTCACTCACACACTCACTCACATATTCACAAGCTCTCACACACTCTCACTCACTCACACATTCACACACACCCTCACGCACTCACACTCATTCACACACATTGTCACTCAGTCACTCACACACTCACTCTCTCACACACTCACACACATTCTCACTCACTCACACTCTCAGTCACTTACACACTCACACACACTCACACATTCACACACACTCCTACTCACTCACACACTCTCACTCATTCACACACTCACACTCTCACTCACACACACACTCTCACTCACTCACTCACTCACACATACACTCGCATACTCACACACACATGCACACTCTCACTGTGGTGTGTGGGTGTGTGTGTGTGTCTGTGTGTGTGTGTGTCTGTGTGTGTGTGTCTGTGTGTGTGTGTCTTGTGTGTGTGTCTGTGTGTGTCTTTGTGTGTGTGTCTGTGTGTGTGTCTGTGTGTGTGTGTCTGTGTGTGTGTCTGTGTGTGTGTGTGTGTGTCTGGGTCTCTGTGTGTGTCTGTGTCTGTGTGTGTGTGTCTGTGTGTGTGTCTGTGTGTGTATCTGTGTGTGTGTTTGAAATGTCCTATTTCTATTTAAATTCCGAGGCTGTGTGTGTGTGTGTGTTTATGTGTGTTTAAAACATCCTGACTATTTCTGTTTTAGCTCTCAGGCTGTGTGTGTGTGTGTGTCTATGTTTGTGTGTATGTGTTTAACATGTCCTGACTGTTTCACCTTCTATTGCTCTGTGTGTGTGTGTGTGTGTGTGTGTGGGAAGGAATAAGGGAATTAGTTATAGAGAACTGTTTAAATAAGAATAATGTAGTGTAAAACTCCTGTGACTTTCCAAAACAGCTGACGCTTTAAGAGTGGCAAGATTCTGTGGCAGAGAATATACCTCTGTGTGTGTGTGTGTTTGGGGTTGGTTGTGGGAGAGGAATGAGTGTCTGTGGTGTGTTTGTGTGTGTGTGAATATTAGCAACATGATATTTCTTCCCATCCATTTGATTATCGGTACATCTTAACAGGACCTTAGCGGCATCGGTGGATAAGATGCAATACAACAGGGAGTCTCATCTTATTAATGCGTTCATTGCAACTCAAAGCACCGCGGGGTATAAGAGTCTGATGCTTTTTTATTCTGGATTTGATTTGAACATTTTTCAGGGATGAAATAGCCAAATGACACCTTTCTCGGCATTAATAAGCCCCCCCCACCACCCCTCAGCAACCCTCACCCTCCACACACACACACACTGGACATTCTGGGTGAGGCTTAACCAGTGTCTGTCCATTTCCACTCCATCTGTGGCTCTGGGAAATGGCTTATTACAGGAACGTAAGGATTGCGAGATGAAAAAAGAAGACTAAGCTGCTTTGTGAGGTCGGTTCCATGGCATATGCGTAGCGCGCTCGCATCGGAAACGAGAGGACCCAAAGTTAGATTTCCGGGCGGAGCAAAACCTTAGGCAAGTTTCCTTACTCCACACGCCTCTGTTTTCTTAGCAGTTAGTAGGAATCCGGTTGTTAGTCGATTGGCGGATGGATTTCCGGGGGTAATAACCCTTCAAAAAATAATAATTCATGATTGTTTGTGGAAAACTGCTGTGCAAAATTGATTGAAGTGTTTTGCCCACAAAATACACAGTCAATTCATTTTACAATTTATTCTGCGAAGCTCTTTCAGACATTTCAATGACGTGCTATATAGCAATAAGGTGCTATATCAAATGCAAGGATTATTATTATTATCTAGTTCCGCCTTCAATCATCCCTTTAGTCACATGCTACAATAATGGAGATGTTGATAGTAATTAATTCTGTATGCATTAGTCTACAACAGAGTGGAAAGCTTTGGGAACCTGAGATCCAAAGTTATCTATATTGCTATTATTATATTGAGAGAGAAATTAAAAATAAATCAATTCTTTGAAATCGATCATAAAAAGAGATGAGCCGACTTAAGCCATGAAAAGGTTGGTTTCAGTAGTTTCACACAGATTTTAAAAGAGCACATGATTTGACTGTGGTAATGATTTGGCACAAAGTAACCATATGTGTAGGTTGGTAGTGTGGGTGAATGTCTTTTGCAGCTCAAACAAAATTGCCCTGTTTTTTTAATCACATAAAATTAACCATCCTGGCATTTGACGTGGCATCTTTCACATCAGGAGTGCCTAATTTGCACAATGCAGAATTCCACACACAGCCACCGAGTAAATCTGAAGCGAGCGAGTGACCGATTTCCGTTGGTAGATTGTCGGCCAGGACACTGGGGAGAAACTCCTTTCCTTCTTTATCGAGCAGTGCCATGGGATCTTTAACGTCTGTCTGTACAGGCAGATGGGGCCTTGGTTTAACGTCTTGTCCGAAGGACGGCACCTCCGAAAACGCAAGCCCCTTGTACTTAAAAAAGCAAAGTCCACAATGCCATTCCCTTCATTAACATTACATCAGTGACAGAGCAACTGCTCTACTCCCTCTTTCTTGGTGAGCTGAGGTGAGATGCACTTAGTCAGAGATACCACTGGATGGCTTGTCTTTTAATGCTCAGCACAGTATTAACGTTGCAGCCAGCAATTGCACAGCTCTGGAAAACACATACACACACACCACACGCAACATAACATAACGTCCTGGGAATGTTCTAAACAGGGGGTGAGAGATGGGGGAGAGGAGTTTGTCTCCCAAATGCATGGCAACTTAAACAGTCAAACAGCACACCACATCGGTTAAACAGGGATCTGGGGGTTAGTGGGCTGGTTAGTTGTGCATCTGCTTTCACCAAATCAGCTGTGAAATGGACATGGGAAGCCTGCAGGTTGTGATCTGCCAGCTGTCTAATCTAATCCATGGACACGATTGCAAGCAAAAACACTCCCTTTTCCGGGGCGAGGGGTCGTTCCTGCA